TTACTAACGTGTAATCACCACCTCCTGTAGTTTGTGCTGGCCAAATTTCAGGTGTGTACGACCTTCCCTGTAGGAGGAGATAGATTGTGAAAATGGTCAAAAATGGCCAAAAGTCAGGCAACATTACCAAAATTGTCACCAGGGTTTTTCAACATAACGGACTTCCTGTTGGGTTTAGGGCTTGGTACTGATTGACTTTTTTGTGCGTTTCACTTTGTGTGACTGAAAAGTAACTACAATTGAAGATAGAATTAGCAAAAGTAAAATAATTCTTTCTCATTCTCAATTGAAACATGTTAACTAACAACCACATAAACATCCTTAGACTCTGTAAAGTACGCTCCTGAAATATGGATAGTATTTTTTAATAACTGTTGATATCACATTTGCTGCTTAATGTTCTGACTGCCAGGTTGGTGGAAAACTGTGCAGGTTTTGAGGTGAATGAAATCAGCCTCAAACAATCTTGCTTCATTGTTCACACTCTGACAACCCTGTTGCACTCGCTCGCACTACGTACTGTGCTTGGAGCTCACCGTGTCTGTCTGTCTGCTTGCCATTCAGTTATCGACAATAAGTGTGTCGTGTCATATTTGTTTCACAGCAATACTTTCATGCGGGCGGCGTGGGCCTGAAGAAAACCTTCTTGGAAAAGAGTCCAGATCTGCAGTCTCTGCGCTACGCCTTGTCTCTGTATACGCAGGCTACAGACAAGCTCATCAGGAAGTTTGTCCTCTCACAGAGCGCTCAGGGTACGACTTCAAACAGTCACAACACACACACACACATATATACACACACATACATACTGTCACGAGGTAGGTTCAAACAATTTCACACAAAAATGCTTTCAGCTACTCTCAAAGAGCTCCACAGCTTATTCTTTCTGTTACTATGGCTTATGGAATTAAATGGGATTATGGGATTAAAGAGAATAACTTGCTTACAGTACAGAGAATGTTTAATTCATTGCTTCAGTGAGTTACAGTAGCCATACCATCCAAAGTACTGTTTGCATTCGCTGAATATATATCTAACTACAAGGGTTTTAGATCAGCAGAGAGATATTTTTGAAAGTCTTTCTCAAGGATGCCCTTGTTGTTAATGAATTGAGTCTGCAGTATTAAAAATGTGCGTCCAAGATGCACTAACAAACGTCCTCGTCGCAGTGTTTTATTGCTAACTTTCCTACGTCTCCCCTCAGTCCATGGAGGGAAAGGGGTCCGGTACTCAGCAAATGAAGACACAGCACCGGAGAAAGGTACGTGTCAGCAGTGTTGTGTAAAATGTGCGTGTCCCCCGAGGCCGACTGACAGCACCCCAGCTTGGGCTCAGACACCTTTGTGATCAAGCTGTCACGAACCAAATACAGCTGGGACAGTGAGCGGTGTTAGCCCTTGGCACACCTCAGATCTCGCTCTGCTCCGTCTTTTTCTTTGTTTGAGCTCCTTTTCAAGAGCTCAGTGAGAAAAAGTATTTATGGTACACAAATCAACAGGGGACGTTTAAAACAACCAGACATGGCAGTAATGAGAAATCAAGGAAGAAGCAGGCCGTACAAGACTTGATGAATAAAAGAACACGTCAGGCACATATTGTGTGAGGAATAAAAAGTTCAAGTTTTTTTTTAGAAACTTGTGTTGCAGTTTTGGTACTTTTTAAATGAAGCATTTTTCCCCCTTTTTCTTTAAATTCAGTTTTTGAAGAACTACCAGCCATTACTGCATTACAGTTTGCCATTTTCTGAGCATCCCAACTGGCACTAAAGCAGCTTTACTGAGCCAAGTCCTGCTCATCTGATGATTACAGAGAACCTGTGTGTGTGTGTGTGTGTGTGTGTTTGTAGCATCTGCAAGTTTAAACTTAGTTCACAATCTGCTGATGTATCCCAAATCTTCCAGTCATACATCTCTGCTTTGTTACATCGGGGACTGCAAAGAAACTATTTATAACCATGGAAAGATAAAATGGGCTCACAGACACAGGCGGTGATCAAACACTTATCTGAGTGTGTCTTCACAGCGTCTGGAGTGGATGCAGTCGGCGACGTGGTCATGAACGTGGACATTTTGCCTCAGCCTAATGGAGAACACAAGATCAGTGTCAAAGGTAAAACAAAAAGCAGAACAGACTGGACTGTGTTCTCATCTTCTCCCACTTTCCTTATTCGCTCACTGAACCTACTTTCTCTGTCCAGTGGTCTCAGCTATTGACCTGAAATGGAAAGCACAGGGCTTCAGGCCTTTTGTTGAAGTCTACATCATCGGCCCTCACCTCAGCGACAAGAAGAGGAAGTTCGCCACCAAGTCCAAGAACAACACCTGGTCACCAAAGTTCAGTGAAAGCTTCCAGTAGTGAGTATCCACCTGATTGTGCACTGATGATGCTATCCAGTCTAATAGACAACCACCTAACGAGAAAAACCTGTCTCGTTTCAGTTCGCTGGGCACTGAGGTCGGTCCAGAGAGCTACGAGCTGCAGGTGTGTGTGAAGGACTACTGCTTTGCCAGGGAGGACCGCACCGTGGGCATGGCCGTGCTGCAGGTGAAGGACATAGCCAGCAAGGGCAGCGTCACCTGCTGGCTGCCACTGGGCCGACGCGTCCACATGGACGAGACGGGCCTGACGGTGCTGCGCATCCTCTCCCAGCGCAACAACGACGACGTGGCAAAAGAGTTCGTCAAGCTCAAGTCAGACCAGCGGTCGGCCGAGGAGGGCCGCAGCTGAGGGAGGAGGACGGCGACGAAGAAACACGTGTGCACAAGAACACCAGAGACGTACCTGATAGACATAGTGTTATGCACACATAGTACACACACCTACATAGATAGACAACCACGTGCACTACACAAGCACACACTAAAAATGCTCTATTGTACATATATCTGCATACATTATGCAACATTTACATTGCAATGTTATCAATGCAACATGGAGGAATATCTTTCTAAAAGTCCTATTTCATTTGGAATCTTTCAACCGCTGCCCCGCTCATAACTCTTGAGTTCAGCCTCATCTTAGCAAACACCTCACTCACTCTTTCCTAGAACACGTCACACCTTTTATATGCTGTACATTTAGATGTGATATAATGCACCGCAGAACAACAACGGAACCGTGTGAATAGTTTGAGAACGACCACTTTGCACTTTTGCTTCTCTGCATCTTCAGGAGAGCAGTCCTTGCCTAGCTATGCTCTGTCCGTGCGTCCGTCTGTCCGCTTGCCTGCCTGACTGTGTGTCGTTCTTCCAGTCCTCCCTCCTCTCCCCCCACCCAACCCTTGTCGTTTGCTCTGCGTAGTCTTCCCACGGTGTGGTGTGTTGTGTAAGTTGGAGTTCCGACACAGATCTAAGATCAGCTTTTTCTTTTGCCCACAAAATCCAAACGATATGGAAAACACACACACACACACACACACACACAACACTGACCTTAGATCAGTGTCCAGGGGCAACATCACTGCTAGTCCGTCCTGTAATGTACAAAACGTCCTGCATGTTGACCCCAGGAACACTGTGATTCACTTCGCTGTAACCATGGCAACCATTCCCCTTCCCACGTAAAAGATGGCCGCCTCCAATATTTTATCTGTGTGAGCATGGTGCATTTAACCCTGGTACAATAAGGTTTTATAAATATGACCTGACTAACCTTCTGTCTCGTGGAGAAGACGAGGCCGGCAGCAGACCAGCGCTGAGCCCGGCGTGCGATGTGTCGATAGAGGCCGTGGCCACAATGTGCTTTTTTTTTTCTTTTTTTTTTTAATGTTTCTTGCTTCACATCGAGACAAACGGAGCAATACCCCAGCGTCTTACACCCCTAGAGTGCACATTAACTCCAAAAAGGGCTACAGGATCAGTGGACTGGGATGTCACTTTACGCACTAATACATGCTGTCCATGCTTCTGTTGGCAAACTGACCACAAGGTCCACCACCCTCCCTCTCCTCCTCCTCCTCCCCCTCCTTTGTCCACCCGCTTGCTCATAAAACATGCCACACACAACGATTCAGAAAGTCTTTCATGAGTGACACTGTGGAGGAACTTGAGATAAATCCACGAGAAGCCTGAAAGGACAGCTCGGCGGATCGCCTGCACACGCATCTGAAACCCATCTATTTAAGGCAATAGTGGTTTGTTTGTGTGTTCTCGGAAACTTGTGGACAAACCCTCTGTGAACACTGCTGTGTCTTTTGTTGATGTGTGTGTGCATGTGTGAGTGTGTGTGCGTGTTGATTGTCACACCTATAAAAATGGGCTCTGAGATTGTGAGCAATACATTGTACCTACACACCCAAAACTGTACGCGCTGTCAACACAACTACAGGAGCACCGGCTGCACTCTCCACACGCCAGGAATGGGAAACTTATGATCACATTTTTTTGTAAAGATATTTTATTTATGGACTCATAAAATTCCCGTTCCCCCTCCGCCGCCCTCTTTCGGAAGTGTCGCAATCTTTTTCTGGCGTATTTTGGATAAGAGAGATGAAAGTGTTTTGTCCTTGAATTACTATTTGCCTTTAGTAGGACCAAATTTGCACGAACCAGAGCTCATGTTTGGGTTTTTTTTTTTTTCCTCAAAGAATGAAGCCATCAGAGTCACCGCCAAGCATTTATGTATTAGTTTCAGTCACATGTGTCGATTGACCCCTTTACCTCTCCCTGCAAAAAAAAAAAAGGTGACTCAAAGTCTTAGTCCAGCTCGTCTTGTAGTCTCTTTGTGAAACTAAATGATGTCAGTGAGAGCGAGCGAGCGAACGCCGCAGGAAGGTTTCCTGTGGCCGCGTGGAGCTGCTTCAGACATCACTGCTGGCCTGTCACATGTTGTCTTTACTGAATACTGCTGAACGCTACCAAAAACACATCTTTTTCTGAATGTTATTTATCCTCTCAGCAGAGCCTTCTTTCAAAGGGATAGTTGCATCCAAAACCACCACTAGCTTGGGGAGACCGACTCATGCCTTTTTGATTTAGGCCACCAAATTCCACTTGAGACATAAAAATAAACGGCTCATGCTTGAGTTTGGAGCGAACTGGCCTAGTTGCCGGATTTCTGGCAACATTTAAAGGGGAACTCCACTGATTTTACACATCAAAGTTTGTTTACACATCTTTGGGAGTGCTGCTGCATTATGGGAGGGGAAACTTTGCAAAGGAAACAGTTTTGAGGTTTGGTTCCTCAAATCCAAACTGACTGAATTGTTGCATTGTGGGTAATGTAGGCACTGAGGGAACATAATGTGTGCAATAAAAAAAAGAAGAAAAAAAAAGACAAATCTTTGGCTCTGCTGCATCTGCTTGTTTTATACTTTTCCCCCCATCAATCATGACTCTGACAACCAGTGTGATGCCTAATCGGTGGAGCGCTCCTTTAAGTTACACAACGTTGTCATGTCGTTGTCATAAACGACTCCAGGGGGCTCAAGACAAAACTTAGTGTAACTGAAAAAGCAACAAGAACGTAACCGATCATCCAGTTTGGGGCTCGTTGGCTGCCTGCTTCATGTATGTACGTGAACACACAGACACACACACACACACACACAGACACACACATCTACACACACACCGATCTCTGCTCAAGCACAAAAGGGCACATGTTAGGACGTGAGACACATGTAAGACACACATGCATGCATGCACGCCGACACAACTCCGTGGAGACCAATGACGCCCACCTTGTGAATAGAATCAACTACAAATGCATGATGGGAAACTTTATTGTGCCAGCACGTGTCTCTTTGATGTTACTTGACTCTTTTTTTTTCTTCTTCTTCTTTTCCTTTTTTCTTTTTGACTCGTTTTTACTTTCCACAGCTACGTAATAAGTCATCAATGTTCTTTTGTTTTTCAAAAAACGGCTTGTGAATACGTCATCTGTAACCAATATGAATGTAGTGTGAACACAGAACTCGCATGAGAGAATTATTTTCTACTAAGGGATGTTTCTAATTTGTTTCTTATCATTATTGATCGTTCCTTAATGAGGATGAAGTGGAACTGGAATGCAGCCTGATTGTGATCTGCTTCCTATTAAAAGGACATTTGTGTCACAACCTAAATGTCTTGCTGAGAATCACATTGCTGCAGTTTGGTTTGTATTTGGGTGTCTTTTTATTCTGCTTTATTTGGGGGAATATATATATATATATATGTGAGACTTAATTAAAGAGTCTTTGAAGCAGCTAGTTAAGACAAAGCTTCACCTTCACAGTTTAAAAAAAAAAAACGGTTATAAACAGATGCTGCAGTCTCACGGATGGAGGTATTGACACAAAGCTTTAACTGGATCAACCGGCTTCCACCTCAGTGAGCGCTCAGTCTGCTTTGTGTGACCTCTGACCTCTCTGCGGAGGGGGAGGGGATCACACTCGACCACTTCGCACGAGTTTTCTGCTCTTTGTGGACACTCAAGGAAAAAAAGGCCTGAAAGTGACAAAGATCACAGATTCATTCAGTCCTCCTCCGATCATTGATTTAGCCGATAAAAATTCATCAGACTTGGGTATATTTTTACGTTCCTTCCTGTCCTAAAATGTCTTAGATGTAACTCTTTAGAATATGCAGATCTATGAAGTCCAGCCTCTCACACCAGCTCACCTGCAACTCTGTCCAAACGCTTTAAAACTGCAATATTGGAGTAATTCAGCCGTTGGCATTTCCATAAAACAGAAAGCCCCACACTTCAGCGTTGTACAAAACCTCACAGGTCTGAATCTGTGTTTTTGACACTCTGGGTGCACTGCAGTCTCAATTATACGTCAACAAGGATACAAAAAAAACAAACAAAATACGGACATGTATGTTAAGATAAAAGCTTGATTTTCACACATCAATATCCAGCTGAACCAAGCGCGTTGATTTATTATTCATCTCCGTATTCAAAAATGGCTGCTTGTTTGCTTATGTAACACTCAGTGGAGCTTGTAGTCTGGCTGGAATACTAGAATCAGCCCAGTGTTGGTGCTGCGCTGTGCACAGTTTATTTTAAGGAGCGATTCTACTTTTGATCAGGTTTGCAACAAAAAATGTTTCTCGATTAATCTGCCATTTACTTTTATTAACAGATTCATCTTTAAAATGTCTGATAATACAGCGATCGGTTCCCCAAAACCCATATTTAAGTCTTCAAATAGCTTTAATACATTTCAACCGATGGTCCAAAACCCACAAAAATCCAGTTTACTAGAATTGAAGACAGAGAAGCAGCCAGTTGTCACATTTGAGAAGCAGAAACCTTAAAATGTCAGTTTTATTATTACTTATTAGTCATTTAAAAATACATTTCAGTCAATCTAATAATTGCTTCAGCTTTAGTTGAGCTTATAAAATGTCAGAAATGAGTGAAAAAAAACACCCATCTTCATATCCTGGGATTCACACTGACATCCTTTTGTGTGATCAACATCCCATAATACGTTTAATTTACCGAGCTGGACTTCTCTTGGCAACCTAATACCTTTCTTCTTGGCAGATCTAGTCTGTCACAAAGTTCCATCAATTTCCAAAAGGAGCAGCTTTATTTTTTATTTCCAAACATGCCGGAGCTGCAGCGTTCTTCATGTGCCGCTGCAGGTGCGTCTCTACTGCCCCCATGTGGAGAAGACGCCGCCTCCTAGTCTACCAATAAAGACACGAGACACGAGTTCTTATTTAACAGTAAAAAAATGAAACCAAAAACAAGACTTTATTAAAGAAGCATAAAAAATAAAACTCTTGATACATTTCTCATAACCGTCAAGTCAGCTCAAATTATATGATTATACAATTTTTCCCGGCTCACGGTTAAAAGGTCCATAAACTTTCAAATAAAATATATTTCAATTTTAAAATTTCTTCAATAATTTTCTCATTTTGTTATAAATTGCCTATATGTAGTACACAGGAAATAAGGAAAATAAAAAATGGAAAATAAAAATAAATTTGAAGTAATAAAAAGGGTCACATTATTGTCTGGGATATTTAGGTAAGCAAATAAATTGTAAAAAATAAAACGTGTAAAAAGTTTTTTTTTTTTTTCCTTTTTTATCTTAAAAATTATTAGCTAATGCCAGGTGGCTTGAAGACATGCAGATGGTTAACTTACAAATAATGATACATGTTCTTTAGAAACTACACTTATCTTCAATTAAGTCATTTTGCTTTTGAAAACAAGATCCCGATGATTGTATCCAGGGTATATACACACACAGGTTAGGCCTGAAACCTAGTTTGCTGACGTTTTACATTTTGGTTCTGCATACAAAGAGAATTAAAGCAAAAATAGGAGAGCGGAGGCTTGAGGGGCGTCTGTCACCCCTTACTGGCGTGGCTCTCTTCGCATCCCCCCTCTAATCACAAAAAAAGGTCAGAGGTCACTGGCTAGCATGCCTCAGGAAACCCTGTTTTCAAACCTTTAGGAAGGAAATGGGGGGAGGGGGTAAGATTGACTTAAAAAAAATAAAAATCAGCAGTCGATCTGAAAAAATTTGTACCTTTTTAACAATTAAACTACTGTACATTAACCCTAACACTCTCTCAATGGCCAGAAACACTCCGGTGCAGCACCGGCATTTACATTAGACCCATCTGGCAAAATACAACACATTTTATTCTTTAACGCGTCAACTTGGACAGTTTAAAGAAGGGCTTTAAGATTGGCCTCAACAGACTCACACAACAGTCATCACAGATCTGTTCATTCAGACACATTCGCAGCCCTGCATCTGTTCTGAGTGTGCACGAAGAAAAGCGACGTTTGACATCAGAGCCCGACGAAAGGATGGGTCTCCAGTTTCAACACAGCGGTCCCACAGAGGGAGGAGGGAGGAGGGAGGAGGGAGGGAGGGGACGACGAGAATGAGAACAGGGTTGTCAGGTCTACAGTGCATTGGAGAAGTCAGTCTGAGAACTAAATGGCCTCCCGCTATCAGCTGGGGTTTGTTCATGTCTGTGTTTCAGTAGGGAGCTGCACCAAAGCACCTAGTCTTCACAAAGACTATCAGTCCAGCTCCTTGCCAGGTTTCTCCCACAACCATCGAGTCAGTGCACTGCTGCGCTCAACCAGGACAGCCACTTATCAGATACCTCAGGGGGGGCTACTGCCATCGTCACCAAAGTAGCAAACGAACAGTCAACACAGTGAATAAGTTTAACGTTATACTGGCTGGAGCACCAAAGCACAGCAGCAACTGCCCAGTTACGTACTCATGTAGAGCCACCCTTCATTCCTCCATATCAAAATAAAACCCCACAACCGTCCTGATCTGCGGTAGCGTCCAGGGAGGACGACACACTGCGGCGCCCTACGCACCAACAGGATCTGAATGTGATGACCGTGTAGGGGCACAATTAAGAAACCATTTATCTAAAAAAACAATAACACGCAAAACATTCTGCAGCTGCTGGGATTTGAACACAACGAGTGTCTGGAAGCCCTGGATGACCTAGCTACTAGCTGCCATAAAGGATAAGTTGATTCTTCCTACTGTGTGAGCCTGAAAATGTGATCATGTGTCTGTGCAGTCAGAGGAAGCCCTTGAGAATTAGGTGTGGCGTTTTTTTTTTAATTCAGTTGTCATGGCTTGTCTCATTCTATGAGCGGATTTCCACGCACATTCAGAAGGGCCACCAACGGCAACCGTGCACCATCACACCGACATCGCCCGAAATCATACGTAGAGTATTAACACTATAAGAGGCAGTTACTGCAAACTCACACCGACTTTTTTAAAAAACAAAGCACGAACACAAAACAGGATGTAACCGCCTCCTTGGAGTTACTCAGTAATGCTATGAAACACAAGGACAAATCTCAAACAACGAACCATATAGTGCACTACAATTTTTCCAGGAGTCCAGCGCTGTACGGATACAACAGTGTGTCATCTCGGATGGTGCCGTACAGCTTTGACAAAGGGGTGGAAGACCAAACCTAACGAAAACAGTAAGAGCTGTGTCTTTTTTTTTTTTTTCCTTTTGTTTTTTTTTTTTTAGAGGGGCCGGGGGTTACAGTGCATGGGGAAGGGGGGTGGGATAGGTTCAATCGAGCCCCTTGTTATTGTTTCATGTGTGAGGAGAAGCCGTCTCTCCTTATTGGACAAAAACATTCTGGTGTGACATCAGAAAAGCCCTATCTTATCCTAGAGTTCAAAATACGTCTGTTAGCCACACACTCGACAGTCAAGAGTCAAAAACTAGTAGAAAACACTAAAGAAGCGGATCTAAGTGTAACAGACGCAGCGTGTGTGAGAGGGAAGCGTTCCGGATGGATCAGAGCATCGCCTTGCTTTAAGACTACGAGAGTGAAGTGAAGGAGAGGGGCAGCAGGACAGAAACCAGACCTTCTCATGGTGATGACACATGATGATGATGCCGATGTGAAGAACAGCATGAGTGGGCATTATTCTCACACGCACACGCAATCGCACACCAGAAAGAGAAAGAGAGAGAGAGAGCGAGAGACATGTAAAGGGATTGTCAGGCAGCCCAAACACACAAACATACAGAGAACTGACCTCAGACACATTCCTTCAGCATCACTAATGGTACGTTTCTCACCTATTAAAGGATAATTCATGTGAATCAGTGCAACGTCCACATTTGAAATGTGGGGCAGACTCATCCAATTTCATCCAACATGTTACTGAATCGAAGAATTAAGAGACGTCTATTAATAGCAATCATTTGGCTTTACTTAGTCATGGCTAAATTTTATGTGGCAACGAGAAACATCCTTAAGAGGTCCCTTGGGTGTATTGTTCTGCTAGGTGCCTGCCAACATGCCGACCTTTGATAAAAATAAAAAAAACAAAGAAAGAAAAAAAAAAAACAACAACGTCCGAGCTTACAGAAAAAAGAGGAACCTTGTTGCTTTGTGTCACAACCAACAGCATGAGTGAGAGCAGAAGAGAAAAGGGATTTTGTTTGGGAACAGGTCGCGTCCTGTCAAGAACATTAAAATTAGGAGTAGAAAAGTGCAGGCCTCATTGACAGCTTCATCGAAAAATATCTGTTAAGTACAAAAGTGTCAAAAGGAAAGGCTGTGACAGAGAAAGCAGGCAGAAATCTGAAGAAGCCAGAATGAAGAAATGTCGAGACGGACCGGCAGCCAGCCGTGCAGGCTGCTCCGGGTCAAAATGAAGGCCTGAAGAGAGATAAGACACTAGTTTCCTTCCATAAGTTCACCACCGAGAGACTGTCTGAGCCCCAACTGTCTGCAGACCAGCTTCAATTAACTTCACTCTGAAAATAAGTCATTGTCATTATTATTATTATTATTGTTATTATTAATCTTGACAGTTATCAGCAATAAATCAACATCCTCATAGTATCATCATCTCTATTAATGCATTTATTATGGTCCATCATGTATGTGTGAAGGTTATTAGTGTGAATCCTTCCATTGTCTCCGCCACAGCTGGTGCCCCACTCCGGTACCCTTCCTGTCCCCGCCCTCCCATTATTTACCCCCCCACCCCACTTGCCCGGGGCATTAAGAGAAGATGCGGATGCACTGTGTGGTAGGAGTGTGGCAGACGGGGCACTCCGGCTCAGCTGACTGGCAGATCTGCCCGGCGCACTCCATGCAGAACAGGTTGTGGCCACAAGGCACCAGGGCTGCTGTCACCTCGCTCTCGAAACACACAAAGCAGTCCCTGTTGACCCCGGGGCTGACGCCAACCAGACCTGCAACCCCAGGACCAGAGCCGCTTTTCAGTCGGCTCAGCATCCCAGAGCTGAGGCCCACGCCGCTGCCGCCTCCCTCGGAGTCAGTGGGTGAGCCACCGGGCAGGGAGGAGGCCGAGCAGGAGGAGTAGCCGGTCGACGAGCCGCCGGAGCTGGAGCTGGACGCTCCAGAGAAGGAGCCGCCTCCCGCGCTGCCGGACTGCAGCCATGACAGAGTGCTGAGGGGGTCGCTCTGGGCACGACGGGCTAGTGGGTGATCCAGAGGGCCCACGCCCGTGTCCTGAGGCAGAGTTGGGGACAATCGTGGAGTGATGGCGCCGCCGCTGAGGCCGCTGCTGTTGCGACGTAGAGGCTGCTGCTGCTGCTGGGAGGAGCCGGCCGTCTTATTGCCTGTTCCACCGTTGACGAAAGGTGCCCAGATGTTGGAAGCACTGAACTCAAAGCCTAGTTCATCTGAGGAAGGCAGTCCTGGGGTGGAATCGCCCCCAAAAGTGAATCCTCCTCCAGCGCTGCTGGAGCCTGTGCTAAAAGGGCTAGTAGGGCTGCCGCCCTCGTTGGCCTTTCGGGCGGCACTGAAGTTGTCTGAGCTCATCCCGCCGTTGTGCGTGTGATAGGCGACTGATGAGGACATCTTCCGGCTGGACGAGTGGTGCATGGACATGGGAATAGAAGGAGGAGGAGGGGAGGGAGGGGGAGGAGGGGGCGCTGAATGGTGACCTGTAGCTCTGGACCACAGAGATGCCCCCAGCCCTCCACTCAGGGCGCCGAGGCCTTCTAGACTGACATCGGTGCCGTTGGTATGGAAGTCATTGTCTCCCTGCAGGTCTACAAAGGTTCCAGTTCGCAGGGTGATGTGGGTCTCGATCTCCTCTCTCGCTCTGTCCACGTTCTCTGGCATCCCGGTCACCTCGAACACTGGGTCTTTCTCTCGACTGGGTGTCACGATGTAGGTGTGAGTCTGCTGCTGGATGCGCTTGATAGTTGCTCCCTTTGGTCCAACAACTAAACCAACTACTCTGTAGGGAACTCTCACCTGGATCGGTGACAAGAGAAGATATTTCAGCCAAGAATTCACTTTCTACAGACACTACTATAACATCCAACAATTCCTTTGTTACCACAGTATAACAAAAACACATCCTGATTAAGCATGGGGGAGGGGTGAGGGGTTGTGTACCTGTATGGTGGTCTGTCCAGGTAGGTGTGGTGGTCCAGGCAGAGAACCTCCTCCTCCTCCAGGCCCTCCAGCTTTGCAGCGGGACGCCCGGATCATAGAGAAATGCTCAGCTGCAGACACAATTTCACGTTTGGCCATCTCCACATCCTCCCTGCGCCCGGTCACGATGAATACTGGATCCTCACCTCGAACTGGAGTCTTTATGTAGGTGTTAGTTTTGGCACGTAGGGCCTTGATCTTACAACCTGGAAGATTCAAAAGCACATAAGTGTCAGTTTAATACACACATTGACTAATAACACAGTCATAATATAATGGTAATCATGTACACAAACATACGATCCAGTAAAAATAAATGCAGTCTGAAAGAACAATCTTGAAATGGATCTTACGTTTATTGAATCTGCAATTTACTGTTTTTGTTTTTTTGTTTTTTGCTGAGACAGAGATGTTGATCGAACTATAAAGGCAGACTGACTGTTTCTAATATTTAGTTTCCTTAATGGATATAAACAGAGGAGAAAAAAATCTTAGAAACATCTGTCCCCATAAAGCAACAGCAACAAAAACCCTCAAAGTCCTTCTCATAAAGTTGAAATAAAAAAATAATAATATCCATGAAGTGAGGCTTTATTGCAGGGCGTTTGCATTGATTTAAACAACAGTGAGTGCACCTCTGTTACACTTGCAACCAAGCAGCCATTTTTGAAGACAGATATTAATAATGAATCAACATGCTTGGTTGTTAAGTGTTGGGCTGGGTAATGAAACCACAAAAATAAACATTCAGTAATCATCAGCAAACGACTTGGTCTGTTTTATCTTTTGTTTTAACGTTTTTTTAACCCCCAAATTAAGCAGCCAACACTGTGGCTGAGTATTTTCACCTTGAATCTGCAGTGTACTGATGACAATCTCAAAAACATGGATTGAGATTTCTGGGATTTCATGTGAAACAATCTAAGAAGCCATTCCTGTCTGTTTGAAGGGTGGGGCTCTCTCTAACGTCACCATAATGATAATATTATTGGAAGTTTCCATTTTGAAAACATATGGCTAAAAATATATTACAACTTGCAATTGTGCAGCGTAGACTAGTTTTACAGCGTTTGAGCAGATTTGTAGGCAAGCTGGTGTGCAGGAGCTGCTGTGAATGGGGAGGGGTGGTTGGAAAAAGAGGGGGGACTTATTAGATCTGCACATTCTCCAGCAAGCAACAGTGTAGAGTTACATTTAAACAAGTCTTTTTAGAGCAAAACTAGATTATTTTCATGCAAAAACACTTTTACATGTGTAGCTTTGATACTCAGGGATGAGTTTTTAGGGTTTTTAGTCAATGCGAGCTTAATACCAACTGATCAGTTTATTAAAATAACACATCAGTGGTAGCAATGGCAGCCGGCGTGCAGGTTATGCATGAAAACACTGTGTGCACAGACATGAGGTGAATGGCTGCTGCTGTCTGTGTCGTCTCCTGCTGCTCCAGCAGCAGCATCCACTCTGCGCTCTGCTCCTTTAAATGCGGACGGTTCATTCTCGGCGACCAATAGGACGCACAGAGCGTGATGTCATTCTGGGAAGCAGAAAGCATGGCTTTTTCAAACAAAGAGAACAATGCCGTAACGCTACCGCGACTGCGACGGGAAAACCAAACCCACAACATGGGTATATTCTCAGTGCGGGACGTATGCCGATAAAAACAAGGAGGAAAAAAATCACGTATGCGAAGCGCAGCGGCTCGTTCGCGAGCAGCAGCATCGGCAGACAGAGCTGGGTGCAGGGCGTAACACCGCCCAGTCCCGTGTTTGTGCGCCTGCTGCCCCGTTTCAGCCTAAAATATGCTCAGCAAAGCCAATAATAAACCGCAATAAACACATATATGAGCTAGAGATGAGAGATCTGCGGATCAAGCTGCCACTTAGCATCCACGAGGTATAAAATCCACATATTCGCTGTATTTTCTTTGTTTGGTGCAGGCTGCTAGACATGTCCAGACTCCCGACAATCTGCCGCTTTGTCTGACCCTCTCCCACCCCTCCCCCTCCCTCCTACTCATCAACCACACTCCCTCTCACTCAGTCTGTCAAAGCATTGTCTAAATACTGATAAAATAGGCACGTAATTGCAGTAGGTGTGCCTTTTTAATGGAGTATCCGCATTATGCTGCCATTAAAGAGCTAAACAGCAAATGCAGAGAGACCAGAGCACCAAGCTCAGACAGTTAAAGTTCAGAGACCCCCCCTCACACCAGGCAGTCACCCAAACAAAGAACCAGCAGGCTGCATGCTGCCTGAACCAGCCGTCCACAAACACCTCACATTTCTGCACTCAGAGCATGCTCTTACCTTGTCTCCCCACTATCTCGGCCACATGTTCAGAGCTGGGGACAGGCACACATTCAGTCATGTTGACACTTCTTTTCCTGCTGCAGAGGACGGAGCTTTGTTCCCCGTGGAGCATGGAGTGCGAGCCGGCCATGTGGTACCCGCCTGAGCCGTAGTACTCTGGGGATGGAGAGCAGGACGTCGGCGAGTCCCGGGACCCGCTGGGATGCTCCAGCATCTGTAGATCCACGTAGCCCCCTCCACCCACACCGTTGCAGCTCTCGGAGCCCGGACCCTGGGTCCCATCCAGGGTGTCGACAAGCCCGCTGCCTCCAGAGCCACCGCCGCCCCCACAGTCCACCTTCTCCAGAGCCATGAGTGACAGCTGGTCCAGGGCGAAGCGGAGGGCCTCTTGGTGGTCTTCTTCCCGGGACTCCTGGTCCGTCTCTCGGGGCAGACCGACCCCGTTGTGCTGGCTGCTGATCACCACGTCGTGGTCCATAATCTCGGGGTGGAATAAAGGGCTAGGCATAGTCTCTCCGTGGATCTCACATCAGATCACGGATGCCTGTTTGTTGGGAGTGAGCTCACCCTCTGCTGAAAAAAAAACAATAACAAAAAAACAAGTGTTTATTTAAATAATAATAAAAAAACACACACACACACACAAAACAAGAGTTGGGATGGTCACCAGGGAGCCACCGACTACTCACAACCAGCAGCATGCAGTAACAGTGTTGATTTGAGCGCCTTGCTTTGTCTGTTGTTGCTTCTTGTCTGACAACATCCAGGAGGCTGCTTGTTTTGTCGGGATAAAGCATGTCCGTCTTAATACAGCCGAACAAAGTATTTCCCAGCGCGGATAACATGAACCATAGTGGTACTAACTTTAGCCGCTCATGTTTGTAGATATGGAATAAAACAACGCATATAAAAGGGGAGATATATGAGCTGTTGTTAGCTTCAACGAGCAAGCTAACAGGCTAGCTCCACACAGTCGGCACTCAGTCACGTTGTCGACCCCTTTGTTTGGGAGCACCGCGGTTAGCCGCTTAGCTCCGCTCTGACAGTCGAACTTGTTCTCATTCCCAACGGCGGCCGTGCTGATTTTGTAAAAAATTAATCAAGCGCAGAAACGGCATGAACTTACTTTATCTGGCCTTTTTGTCGCCGAGCTCCTCTTCTTCGCTCGTCGCCCAGTTGTTGTGGGAGAAGCAGCCGGGAGGAGGAGAGCTGTGCTGTGCGGCGCTACCAGCTAGCGGGATGGCTAACTAGCAAGCTAAATGGGGGGCGTAGGAGAAAAACCGTTTAAAAGCGAAAAGAGGGCACAGTTGTTTTTTCTCTTGCCGGAGAGTCAAAGCATATCCACGGGAGTGTCACTGGCTCTTCATTCTGCGTGTCGCCGTGGAGAGCGCGGCTGAAATCCAAGGTTAGCGGTTACCTTTTAGTTAAAAAAACAGTGATTCTCGGCTCTGTGCTGCTGCCTGACCCCGGTCGGTCCGCCGCCTTTGTCTCGCCAGGCGCACGCCGCTCCGTCTCCCGCACACGGCACTGACGTCACCCGCGACACAACAATGGGTTCAAAGGCCACATGCAGCAAGAGGAGAGCATCCTGCTACTGTCACTGCCATTGTGTCTGTCTGTCAGTCTGCACGCAACTGTGGCATTTTCCTCTTTAATGCAGCTTTTTTGTTAACGCACTCATACATGTATGAAAGAAGAAAAAAAGAAGAGGGGGAAAAAAATGTGGTCATGGTTGGGTGTGTTCATCATGGCTACCAATGAGGTGTTTGGGGTGGTCCAACAACAGCACTGGAAGATGCTCATTGCACTGTCTGGGTGGTTGCATTTATTTGTTTTGTGGGTTATTTTAAAAAATAATAAAAATAAATCACACCAAAATAAGTCAAGAGTGGGAGCAAGGTATGTCTTGCAATGGCCATGTGCATCATTAAAATGTTTATAGATCCCTGTATAAGGATCGCCCTCCTAAAATGATTCATTTTAGTACCAAATATATGTGTATTCTTGCAGATTTCCAGTGAAAGGAGCCGGACACAAAGAAGGAATTTAGTGTTATAAAATCGAACTCTGAGAAACCACCTCATCGTGCACCACTGGTTGAGAGAAATCCTTGAAGGGAAAAGCTTGTATTGTTTAAATCCCTCTTGAAACAACACTCACACGCCCATGTGTACACTTCAGTGTTTTTAGATCCCTGTAGAAGGAATCCCCTCCTAAAATGATCCCTTTTCGTACTAAATTACATCCTTGCAGATTTTCAGGGGAGGTACCCCTGACACACAAAGAATGAATTTCATTACTGCACATTTTAACTAAAAATAACCGATTATGTTTGTCTGCTCGGGTCTCATTTTGGCTTCAGCTGGAACAGTAACGTGCATTTTGAAGCCCAACATTTTTGAAAACATCGAATAGGAACAGATTCCTCCTGACAGCAGCTGGCCTCATAAACAAAGCCAGAGACCCCCAGTGATACCACCTCTCTACCCCCAACCCTCCACCGCTGACACCGGCTCGATGCGTCACATTAATGCACAGCTTTTTAAAGAGGATTAATATCCTTGGCACATCTCAAGTTGTTTACGCCTCATACTATGTCATTTTGCACAATCTCAGGAGAATTATTTCCTGTGCATTGTAGATATTTCTATGTCTTTTTATTAATATAATCCCTTGGATTTGCTACAATAGCTGCTTATCTGACTCGGAACACTGTCTATTCACTTGTAACGCTTGTTTTTTTTTTTTTTTAAACCTTTGCATCCTTTAAAAAAAACAAATAAAATCAAATTATCAGTGTTTAATGTCATGCACCAAAGCACCATCCTAAATTTATGTTAAAAAAAAAACAAAACAAAACCTCCTTGGCATTAAAACAGATTCTGAAATCATATGAGACACAGAAGACCAGTAAGGACAGACAGAACAATTCCATCAAACACCAACTATTTCAAACTGAAACTGCTCGTGCACGGTCTGTGTGACTGCCTGTATTTGTTTTCTACGTTATTAAGAATTCACACTACAAGAAGGGTCTATTTCAAATTATGGAAACACTTAAAAATATTCAAGAAACCACCTTATCTTGTAACCGTCGTTCAAAGAAATCTTCCTAATGGTAGCATTTTTCAAACAGTGGTCACAGACTCGCGATTTCAGATCCCTAAAAAAAGATTCCTTTAAATGCCAAACACCCTCAGTGTATTCTTGCAGATTTTCAGATAACCTATTGGGTTTGACTGTCGAAGTCTCATTTTAGCTTTGGCTGAAAGAGGATTATGCATTTTGAACCCCGTGTGCTTGCTTCACAGGGAATCTTTGGATTCATTGCATTTTTTAATATATTGCTTTGTAGGGTCTAATTTATTAAACTGGTCAGATAAAACTCTATAATTAATTATACCGTAGGGTCTTAGGCTTACAATTTAACTTTAACTAGGTGCATTTGTATTTAATGTGACATTCTAGGGTTTTAATGATAATATATTCAGGTTAAATTCGCATCATAAATTACACTGCAGGGTCTTAACTTTAACGTTTGTTGTTTTAAATGTGCTACATACATAACAGTGACTCAACATCTGACACTGAAATCACATTTGACATAGTGGCTCTCTCTCAGCCACTAAGGACAAAAGGAACAATTACATCAACTCTTTGAATACAGATACGGGTTTGCCAGTCCTGCTTTGGAAAAGATAAGATGTTATCCTTAAAGGAAAAAAGACATACGCTACACCATAACTCATATAAGAGCTGCATTTATTTAACAGTGGTACAGTGGTACAGCGGTAACAATCTTATAATGAGGTACAGTACATCAGCATTTATTCGTTTTTGTGTTTTCTGGAAGGTACACACACTTTTTCTGTAACTGTCCAAACTCAAATGTTGTTAGCAAAATGAAACTGACAATACTTTTGCCAATACAAACACCATGTAAACTCAGGTTATTGTGAGAAAAAAAAACAAAAAAACAAAACAAAAAACCAACACTAGGAACCGTAAATCCTTCAGTTATTCACGTGCATGTAAAAATACGGCAGCTTTTCTATATAACACACTACCTACAGCGTCAGTAAAATATAAAGCAACAGGTTCTGGGAGAACACTTAAAAATGAACACACTTTTTCAAAAATGAACTTATACATTATAACGCACACACTCACACGTCATTCACATACATAAGGTTTGCGTTTTCAGCTTTGAGCTTAAACAGCTGTTAACTAAATGTAACACTGCATTGTATAGAGCACCATCCACAGCTGTCATACATTAGTAGAGGTATAAAATGAAAACTGAAACTCAAAAAGCACCCTTTCAGGAATACATAGTCAAGTGTACAAAAAAAAAAAAAAAAAAAAAAGACGAGTCTTTTTTTAGAAAATCTGCAGAATGTCTGCATTTACATCGGTTTCAGTTTAAGTGTATACAAATCTTCATGGAGCCATTTATTTGAATATTGAAAAGACTTTACCAGCAAACTTCATGTCAAACAAGCCTGGGGGAGAGATGAGAAAGAGACACGTTAGCTGTTTAGGAATGGACTTCATTATATCATAAGACAATCAATTTTCACACAAGAGATGCATAACATTGCTGGTGCTGTCTGTTAAAGTGGTGGCCTTATGTCATTCACACGTTGGTCACTTTTATGTTCCTCATGGACTCATTCAGACATACCCACCACAACGTCAGAGAGCCGCAGGACGCACACAATATGTGTCAGTCACACAGGACTGGACACAGTGGCAGTAATACACAATAATACCGTAATAAACAAAAGGACTAATCTATCCCACTGCTCAATCAGCAACAGCTCAGTCTGATCTCTTGATGAGTCCAGCTACATGTTTGATCTACATGTTTGATCTCTGATCCCTTTTTCCTTTTGTAGGCATCATTTAACTGTTTACACAAAGTGTAATACAATGCTCCAACTAGTGCGATACATATGTTTTTAGAAAAGTGTGGCATACATAATGTTTTAGATGATCTGGTTTCATATATAGTTTTACATAAGGCTTACTCCGTGCCTTGCTGTGTACTTTTTGTTCTTTTACCGAGCTGTCTGTTGTTGCACAGAGCTGTTAAAAAATTTGCACCACCACCCAAGGCAAATTTCCCTTTGGGGACAATAAAGTACATTTATCTTATCTTAAATCTGCTAGGTAACAAATTAGTCAACTGTCGCTTCTAAAGTGACTTTGTGCGTCTGCTCAGCTGTGTCATATGAAGAAAAGTACACAGTGTCACTTGCTGCTGGAAACTGATCGATCCTGTCTCTACGTCGAGGATAATTTACAGGTATTTCATGAAGTCGCAGCTGTTGTTCCATGTGAATAAACGTGCTGTTCTCTTTGGAGACGCCTATGTGGATTCTGCTGCTGTTTGATGCAGCAGGTATTTAATAAGTTTAAAGAAATGACTGTAAGCAACAAACTAAACTACAGCTCATGTTAACTTTTGTCATTCATCTGACCTGTTAGTATCCGTCTCAGGAGCAGTAAAGTGGTATTTTCATGGACATTAGATGTGAAATTGTAGGACAGAGCAATAGAAAGATGCAGTTTAGACTTGAGTTGTGTTAAAAAATGATCCTGAAATGTTACTCAGTCCAGCCTCGTAAGACTGTTGTTGTGACTCTGACAGAAAAGTGACCAGGGTGCTCATTCTGACAAGTAGCTGTCACATTCAGACACCATCAGACCAACAGAAAGGAGCGCATGTCTAAAAGATGTTAAAGAGTTGCAGTGGAAGAACCAGCAGAAAATTCAGCTGTACCAGAATCACTACTGCGTCTCTGTGTACCTTGGCTATAATTCCTCCTTCTCCACCTGCTCAACCTTCTCCTCTGCTTTGTCGGCTGCTGCGTCTGCAGTGGTGTCCTCTATATGAGCCATCATGTCAGCCATAAGGGCTTCCTCGAGCCGCCTCCTCACATTCTGCACCAGGTCCTCCTGCTTCCTGAAGGGCACAGACAACAAAAAACACTAGAAACTAATGATATGACACATTTCATGGCTTAAAAGTTAAAAGGATTTAGTTTCACCATCCTCACATGGAGAAATTGGTAGAACACGAAAACTACAGCTCCTGATAGCCACCAAAGCACTGTGCAATACAATTCAATCTACCCTCTGAACTCAAGGTACTATATCAGTTGTTGATGATAGTTAAATCCTGTGGACATCACTGATTTCACAACCAATACTCGCGATGCCTTAATTTATAGCTACGTTTTTGCTACCTTTTGGGAGTTTGGTGGCTTCACTTAAATAGGCTATCACAATGAACTCAAAGACTTGAAACTTGTTCATCTAAGCTCAAACATCCACAACACTGAAGTACTACATGACCGTGCAAATTAGTTCCCATTAAGAAGAAAAAAAAAAAAAGATTGTTTTGTAAAATAAAGCAGTGAATTCTAATCTGAAGATTTCAGCGCA